AATTAAAGCATTCTATAGCCACAAATAACACTCCAAACTGTTTTAGTTCGAATAAAGGAAAGTATCTCTTTCAAATTAACACAGAATCATGTCTTCAGATTAGATTGTGTTCATGTGTTAGGAACTCTAATAGTCCTAATAATCTTATGGAACTCAAAAATTAATAATCAAATCAGTAATAAGTCATTACGTGGTATTTTCATCAGCCATCGAATCAATATTACGATAGAACAATGAGAAGACGGAGTTGATCTGAAAAATGTGATGTATTTGCGCTATACATTTCGAACAATTTGGTCACACATATACTTGTTGAACCCTCTTGTCCCAACCACCCTGGATAAGAAAAATTGGTTAAAGGTGAAATTGGTTGACGTTGCCCACCACTTTCACGGATCTCAAGTCAGACAAAGGAATATTTTGACTCCTAAACATTTCGCTGCGTTAAAAAACCTCCAAAGTACGTCAGATATTATGATCCTCAGACCTGACAAAGGTTTTGGGGTGGTCGTTATCAATAAATGTGAATATAAAGACAAAATGTTATCTATACTGGGTGATCAAAGTAAATTCTTACAGGACGTTTCTTCTAATATTAATGTTAGAAAATTGGAATCCAGAGTGAAGTCCAATCTATTAAAGCTTCTTAAAATGAACGTCATAAACAACGAGGAGTTTAATATACTAAAACCTTCGGTTCAGTTCTCCCGAATTTATGTGGATTACCTAAAATTCATAAACTTAATATTCCATTACGACCAATTTTGTCTATGCCTGGTTCTCCCACACACGAGCTAGCTAAATGGTTAGTAAAACTGTTAAACCCAATTCGTACTAATCTATGTAAGTTCTCTTTAAAAGATACATTTGAACTAATTGACTTTCTTGGTGACATTAATATTAAAGATAAATCTTTGCATTCATTTGATGTAAACTCCCTCTTCACGAATGTACCGTTAACAAAGACGGTGGATTTCCTTTGTGACTATATTTCAAAAAACTTTCCTCTTTTTCCTATTCCGTTACCATTTTTGAAAGAATTACTTTTATTATGTACAGCTAATGTTCAATTTACGTTTGATGGTGAATATTTTCGACAAGTTGATGGTGTACCTATGGGTAGCCCTTTAGGGCCTCTCTTAGCTGAGGTATTCATGTCATATGTGGAAAATATGACGAGCGACCTCATTAATGAGACAACTCTATATAGAAGATGTATGGACGATATCCTAATTATATGTGACAAGGATTTTGATGTTTACCGATTACTGGATAAACTTAATGGTGTTCAAAACGATATTGTGATGACACATGAATCAGAAAGTAATGGCCAATTAGCCTATCTAGACATACTTTTAAGTCGAAGGGATGATGGCACTATTAGACGGTCCGTGTATAGGAAACCAACTTGGACGGGACAATACTTAAATTTCCATAGTTTCTGTCCATTGCAATACAAGAGAGGTCTAGTTAAGTGCCTCTTTAAGAGGACTCGAAGAATATGTACCTCTGATATGCTGGAAAAAGATGAAAAGTTACTGACTGACACTTTAATAGCAAATGGCTATCCACTCAAGTTTATTAATAGGTGCAAAAGTCAGTTAATGCCAAAACCTCTAATTTATTCAGTGCCAAAGAAAAAGGCTTATATCAATCTACCATATAGAGGTGAACCTAACAGTATAGTTTTAAGGCAGAGATTGAAAGCAGCCATCGAGAATACGTATTATGCTGCTCAGTTGGTAGTGATTGAAAAGTCTAAGGCCATGATTCCTAATAGACCCAAACAATGCACTAATGATTACGTCACATCCCATTGTATTTACCAATTAAAAAAAAAAAAAAAAAAAAAATACATAGGGAGGAGTAATCGAATAATGCAATCAAGGGTCAATGAACATATGCCTAGATGGCTTCAAAATCAATGTGCGTCAAATGATCCGATCAATGTGGGAGTTAGAAAACCAGGTTCATCGATAGCGAAACATGTAATTGAGATGGGGCACAAAATTAACATTAATACAGCATTTAGAACGTTGTATAGAAATTGTCAAGGTCGAATTCTTAAGTTTATTGAAGCCTTGGCTATTCGTAAATTTAAACCCCCCTTATGTGTACAAAAACAATTTGTCGTAACCTTGAATTTATCTTGATAATCCATAAGTCATTCTATGGCCTAGGATAACGCGACAATTTCTTATTCTTTCTCTCCCCTTAGTTATTTTAATTGTACTTTTATTTGTTTGACCTTTATTAATTTTCATATAAAAATGCCTTGACAAGTATATGTGTGACCAGATTGTTCGAAATGTATAGCGCAAATACATCACATTTTCATCAGATCAACTCCATCTTCTTATTGTTCTATCGAAATTTATAAAAGGGACTAATTGCTTTAAATTCTTGAATCAATATTAAGAATATCGAGTTAATTGACAAAAGTTTTTCCAAAACTGAGTGGATAAAACTTTGCATTTAATGTTAACTCTTCTTGATCTCAGTAGAAAAGAACGTTCTAAATAATCTATCCAGTTTGAAACTATTTATCTCTCAAATACCCTGTAACAGCCGAGATTGAGTAGAGTCAACTCTCCCTCTCGAAATGCTGTCACATGACCACGCATACACAACCACTACCTGGGAAGTCCTACTCACTGCCTTCTCGCAGACGGGTTCTTGTTTACGAAATTGAGAAGACGAAAAGCGAATGTCCGGCGCTTTAGCCGGGTTAGTGTACACGGAAAGTTCACCTGAGGAAGTTGAAAAGCCCTGGTTTCAAACAAATCATGCACATGGGCCCCAGTATCCTGAAAAAAAAACAAATAGTGTATGAACCTATTGTCGGTCACCGGTTTTTATGGAACTGCATATCGTAAAGTTACTGCATTGTGTCGCAGATCAGACCTTTAGTTCTAAGGCTCTAGGTGTGGTTCATTAAAAAAACCACCTGCTTCGTTCTGAATACCCGGTCAGTATCACAACTCACACACAAATCAATTGACTTTTGTGGCGCATATGTATTCGGTGCCCACTTTGTACCAATATTTATATGTTTGAATAAGTGAATGAGTCAATTATTTGGTTAAGTGAATAATTGAATCATGTTGTAAATACTATTTCCCTATGCCAAGCAACCATTTTAAACTGTTCAATTGTATCCATTTGTTTTTCTTTTTTTCGGTTAAGTGGTTATAAATATCAACAAATTGATCAGATTATTTTCTTCAGTTTATTTCTACTTTATATGAATATATTTTTGGTATTAAATGTTAACTTATTTACTTTGAATATGTAAGATATGTTTTTATACATTGTTAATTATCACATGATAAGATCGTCAATTAGAACACGGCTTACATGACTTTGGCACTGTGCCAAATCATTGATGCGTTAACTAGTATGAATGGTTCGCCTAGTTCTGTCCGATGAGTTCAGAACACTGTATGAATCATGTATTTCAGACATACGTAGTTTTAATATACAAGCAGACCAGACTTCATTATACCATATAAAGGAAAATAAAAATTATGCAAGATTAAGCCAAGAGTGACTGTAATTGTGAGATACTGTAACTAATAGATTGGGAATAACTAAGGTATAGTAAATCGTATATTAGCGGTCATTAGATCAAATAAAAGCTTATGGTGAAAGCAATATAATGTAGTTACAGTTATACAATAAGAATATAAATATAATAACAGTTTTTAAATAGTTCCCGAAAGTTACCTATCATTTAATCTTCTAATATAATAGTTACTGTTGTCATTGAAAGTTATCCACCAAAATGTTCACATAATTTATTTTTGATTCATTTTTGTACTGATTGTTTGAATCTTCCCATTGACTTGCAGGACAGCAATTGATCAGTCTCTTTTTCAATATGTGCATCCTATGCTGATTATTTTGCTATTGCCTTAAGTCACAAGGATTATAAAGTAAGATGGATGATGGGGCCAGCAGTGGAATCCAGAACGTGCATTTTGTCCTATTTGGGACTCGTCAGGTAGATGTGTCTGCATTCCAGAGTAGATGTTCACTCTGCTCACTCAACCAATTACCGTTCACTTTAAACTTCATGGCGCTATCCACTTAGCTACTGATGAACATATGCTAATAAGAGACTGATCAATTGCAGTTCTAAACATTAATGGGAAGATTCAAGTAAAACAATACCAAGTGAATTTAAACTTCGCCCCATTGCCCAAGAATCTGGCTATCAAGAACTCAGTAGATAAGTGAATAACGCGATGGTATTTGAAGTGAACGGTACTGGGTTCGAGTCCTACATTGAATATCAACTCTAAGATGTAGGTACATCCAACTGACAAATCTCAAGTAGAACGAAACACGCATCCTAGATTCCACAGTTATCACACCCCAAATGTCCTGGTACGGCAGAGAGTGGGGAGAGTCCGCTCTCCCTCTCGGAATGCTCTCACATGGCCACGCATATATAGCCTCTGCCAGGGAAGTTCTACTCACTGTCTTCTCTCAAACAGCGTGTTGTTTACGATATTGAGAGGACGAAAACCGAATGTCCGGCGCTTTAACCGGGTTGGTGGACATGGAGAGTCCATCTAGGGGAGTTGGAAAACCCTGATTCCAAACTAATGGTGCGCATGGACTCCAGTATCCTGAAGGAATAAATGGCATATGAACTAATCGTTGGTCACAGGCTTCCATGGGACTGCATCTCCTCACGATGCTCCACTGCCTTGTGGATCAGACCTTTAGGTCAAAGGCTCGAAGTGTGGCCCCCTAAGAAAACCACCTGCTTCGGTTTGGGCACCCGAGCAGTATCGCAGCCCTTACATGAATCGAATGATTTATGATGCGCACATTTGTTTGATGCCTCCTTGTACCAATATCTATGTGTTAAATTAAATAAATTAAACAGCTACCATTATCCATCATTGTTTATCATTCATCTCTGTTTATAATTTATTTATATTTCATTTCAATTTATAATATTTATATATTATTAATGGTCTATATTCCAGGATGCTAAAACACATGTTGAATTATGTACAGATAAATTGAAAGCATGTAAAATTATTTATAGTGATGCAATGTGTAAATTAGAACTTCTATCCAATTCAATTCATACAAAGAGATTAAATCAAAATGATCATAGTAATAATGAATATTCCCATAGTAATAATAATAATAATAATAACAATATGGATGATTATGTCATAATGAAATCATTCTCTAAACAATATGAATCTATTCAATATACAAATGAATATTCAAATAATCAATTTATGAAGGATAATACACTTAACAAATCAAATAATGATTGTTTAAATGTTACTATTGTTGATCATTTGAATATGGATAATCATAATCATAATACTGATAATGATAATTCAACTGTTAATTGTTTTCCTATAATGAATGGTTTATTCGAGGTAAATTTTATTGATTTGTTAATAATGATTATAAGATTTGTTAATGTGACTATATAATTCATGGTTGACCTTTGAGTAACGTTAAACTAACCTTAAGAATATTCACTTTTTGACTAGAATCTAAGGATTATGATATACAGTTGATGATTACGGATAAGGATTAGATTTAAGGTTTTCATTACAAACTGACATCAGCTATAATACCAAAATTGTATTTAGTTAAATGGGTGAGTGAATTTCCCACTGAAATCCAAGACTTGTTTTTATCGTAAATCTGATTGGTTCGTCTATAAATCATAGTCTTGCCAATTTGTTTCAATATGTTTTGTGAAAAGTTGACAATGTTTACCTTCATGAATATTGATCATATTTTGATCTGAATATATAGTATCACTAAGTTGTTTAGTGGAATTCGTATAAAGCATTGAGTTATATGTGGATAAGTTAAAGTCACTACAAATAATTGATATAACTTCTAGATTTGTCGAAACAGCCCCGAAATTCCGTGGTATGAACGAGATTGGGGAGAGTTAGCTCTTCCTCTTGAAATGCTCTCACATGGCCATGTGTATACAGCCACTACCAGGGAAGTCCTACTCATTGCCTTCTCGCGGATGGGTCGTTGTTTACGAAAATGAGATGATAAACCGAGTGTTCTGTACTTTAGTCGGGTTGATAGGCACGATGAGTCCATCTAGGGGGTGGTGGTGAGAAACTCTGACTTCAAACAAATGGTGTATATGGGCTCTAGGATCCTGAAGGAACAAATGGCATATGAACCTGTTGTTAGACATCGTCTACTGTAGGGCCGTATCTACTAGCGTCGCCCAACGGCCTTATGGATTAGACCTCTAAGTCGAAGGCCCCCTAAGGAAATCACCTACTTCATTTTGGGCACCCGAACAGTACTCCAGATCTCAGACAAATCCAATGATGAAGTGTGGAGCATATTATATCGGTGCCTCCTTGTTTATTTGTCTAAGTAAATATAAAAAATGTAGAAGCGATATTAGTATTGATTATAGTGAAAATAACTAATCATACAGTGTAATGTCCTGTGATCCTACTGCTTGTAGCTTGAAAACGGAAACCTTAGATCTCTACACAACACTTACTCAAAATACACAAACTAATGATCAGGATTTATTTAACTCCTAAAATACATTAAAATGATACATAAACACACTCACTGATATAAATATTCCCATACAGGGGAAATAGACAGAATTATTACAAAAAAAAAAGAACTCAAACTTCATATCATAATGAATGAATTTCATAGTGAATTAATGCAAAAAGCAATATGATACTCACCCAATGTCTACAACCATTGGTTATAATATGCACCTACAACTTAATTAAGTAGTCTCCACCGGCACAATTCAACAGTTTGTGACTTCATGGGTTGATGCTGTATCTCAGTTTATTCGGTTGTAGCTTTCTATTCAACTTAATAGTACATCAACAAACGTAGTACATTGAGGTAGGTGGTGACTAAGGATACGTAACACTACTTGTTCCAGCCATAGCCTTTAATGATTCACAATTTGACCAATATACTGGCTGTCTTTACTTAGTAACCAAATAATTCCATGATCATTAGAAAAATTCGTAGCTCGGTTGCTTATACACTCAGTTATACATTCATAATTTCTCACTTCTTATATACATGACTCATGTTTATATAATTTTTCTTTTAATAATTTTAGTCACTTCATCAAGCTTCCATTGAGATTGATTCACTTCAAAATTCTCCATTTTTATCGTCAATTCATTCAAAAGATTACTGTAATAGTACAACTAATTCATATTGTACTACTATTGATACAAATACTATTACTACTACTACTACTACTACTATGACAACATCATCATTATGTACAGAGAATAATTCATATAGAGAATCTTTATCTTTATCATCTCATACATCATCAGCATCTATTTCACCAGCATTATCTTTTGATACGTTTACAACATCATCACTAACAACAACAACATCATCATCATCATCATCACCATTGTCATCATCATCATTGTTATTTGATGAACAATCTTCTACTTTAATGTTAATGAACTCTTTTAATAATTTAAATTTAACAAATAACTCATCACATTCATTTATATCAAAAGAGATTTGTTGTAGTAATTTCACAATAACAAATTCCAGTTAAATAGTATTAAGATTTTTTTTAAAAAATGTTGGTTTTTTTAATGTTAATTTCATTACTACTATTTAAGTTAAAAGTAGTTTGCTTATTTATTGATTATGTAATTTTCATTTGAAACGATTAAATGGCTTCTGTTATACCATGACAATAATGTATGTATTGTAACGTTGTTCAATGTTTTAAATTGGTTCATTGGAGTAGTGAATGTATATTACTGTAAAGAATTCATTAAAGAACTATGGAATTACTGCTGATTCAAAGTTCTAATATAGGAGTTTATTATATATATATTTTTGTTTTGTTTACAAAAAGAAGAAACATTAGTTTCTTTTATTAATTGAATATTCCCATCGTTTGCTTTCTTTTCTTTTCTTTTTCTGGTATATTCTATTGTTCATTATTACTTTATATATATATATATATATAAACGTTAAATGGTTAGTAATGGGATAAATGCGTTGTAAAGTCAATATATTACTTATGATAATACTAACATGGGAATATTGTTTAATTTATTGTTATTATTATTATTTTTACTGGATATTATCTAGTCATAATTGAATGCGTTTTACAATCAACTTTATACAGATATCTATTATTTAATTCATTCAAAAAAATGCATTTTAACTAGCTTATTGTGTTTTATTGATTTAACTACTAACTAGATAATAAGTAGTATGGTTTGTAATATTAAAATATTATTTGTTGAATTTCAACGCTATTCAATTCATAATATAAGAGATCTTTCTCAGTTAAAAATAGCCCAGTAACATAACATGACTTACTATGAAATTGAGTGACATGGATATGAATCATACGATTTGTACGAATTCCCCTTAAGATTACATGGAAGATAAGAGGCAGTTAAGAGGAAATGTAGATCAAGTTAAACCTCCTAACGATAACCTCTAATTACCTCCTATTGAACATAGTATATGGGTACTGAGTTAGTTTACTATTCATTAGATTATTTATCATTTGACCAACAGTCTATAAATGTTAACTTGTGGTATAATTGAGCTTGTGAAATAATGGAGAATCTTTTGATTTATGTAATGAACAAAAGATCTGTCTTGGGTGATTAGGATTCAGTAAAGGCTTTTAACCGTCTATATACATAATTGACAAGTGGATAGTTTTATAATTTTTGTTTAATAGTCGAATTTTGTAATTATGCCCAGTAATTATGATAATTGGCTTAACTTGCAACTTAAACGATATGATACCCTAAGGAAAATTAGTTTTCGTTGATTCTTGGACGGCTTACCCAGTCAACATGTAGGTTTAGTTCCGGATTTATATTAGTTGTCAGTCTGCTACAATGTGGGATTAGGCAAATTTATGCATCAGTCCAAGTTGCCACATCTCATTAGCACAACATGATGAACACCATGTTCATAGAATTAGTTACTCCGATGATAGTAATATATAAAAGAAATACTATGTATAAGAATATAATACAGGAAGCAAGAATTAGATCATAGTGTTCAGTTCGCTACTTGATTAACGCAGAGTTCGGTATGCAACTACGGCACTCGGACGTATAGAACCCCACAGTCCACCTAGGTGAGTTGGAAAAACATAATTTCAAATCAGTGATGGGTTCCAGGATCCTGAGAGAACAGATGATATATAGACCTATTGTTGGTCACCGGCTAAAGTGGGGCTACATCTCCTAACGATCCTGCGATCCTACATACGGGATTCGATCACATGACTTTCGGTCTCGGACGCGAACGCTTAACCTCTAAACCATTGAGCCAGTATCCGACGGTGTTCATGTTTAACTTCGATCGATCCATGATCTTGCGCAACTATTCATACTTTTAAAAAATTACTACAGTCTCCACAAAGCTTCATCCTAAAAAGTTTTTATTTACATGTATATTTATGATATTTGAATTTATTGAGTCTGGTTGATACTATTGATGAAAGTAAATAATGGTAATTTGTACCTTTAATATCAAGTTACATTAGGAGATATAATGCCAAGTTTATGGTTCGTTTGTCAGTAGGTTGTGTTCTTTCTTTTTTTTCTACATTAAATTACGATAAGATGGTGGTTGGAGATAGTGAACAGGGAACCTTGTACATGTAATCTTGAGGGGACTGATACTCTCTGACGGATTTGATCCCGTGTCAGTCAGGTTCACAATCAGAGACGTTGCCATTGAGCTATCCGGGCCTCGACTGACCTCTTGTAGGCCTGAGATGTATTTACAACTGATCGATAACTGGGTGGTGAGTAAGCAACTATCTTAAATTAGTAGTTTAATTCATAATACTTTAAGAGTTTGAAGCGTGAAATACTGGGTTCTAGATGCAATATAAACATTTAAACTAGGTTTCAGTCATATACAACTGACGAAACTTAAATAAGGCGTAACATGTATCCTAGGTTCAGTTATCAGTTATAATCTGTTTATTGCAAATCACATTACAAGATAAAATGCGACAACCTTTTGTAACAATATATAATTCTGGAAAAATTCTCCATCAATTGAAGATGATATTGTAGTGTCTGCTACTAATGTTGTCAGATATAAGTTATATGTATCATCAATCGAATGTGGAATGCTTGTTGGCAAAATGTTAAGAAGATCAAAGAAAAGTGAACGAGAACAAAGAATGGTTGGTGTGGAAACGAAGGAACAATTTACATTCTGCAAATGAAGTGTTCTTTTTACTGTATATTCCCCAGATTTCACTAAGATATCCTGTAATTTTTTGTTAAAATTCATCGATTGTCCCCCATTTGTGTTCTTGTTCACTACAATACCATCAGGTTTTATGTTAAAGTGATCTATGGGAAATTACTTTAATCTTGGAATAGTTTTCGGTGTATACAAATAGGAGCTAGTGAATTACTAAGACATAGAAGCACTGAACAACCGTTTTGTCTTAACTAAGGGCTCATCATCTACCTGTCCACATGTAATCCCACAGAGGATTAAAGCACGAACATAAAAAGATTTATAATGATTATACTTAGTAGAAATCTACAATCCTTGACTTCCGTCAGTATTTTTGACTATTGTCTTATGTTTTTCAACCTGGTTTACGACCAAATCATTCAGTTAATAGTACAAATCCGCATACAATTAATAATATCATACTGTTATTTAGTTCAGTTCAAACTGAACTCCATATTTTTGAAATAAGTTTTCAATAATACTGTGGTGTATGCTACTTATGTTGACAGATACAAGTAGTATGTAACACTAATCAGAAGTAAAATACTTAGCAGTACAGGACTAAATTAAAAACAACAGCAATGACAACAGATGAACCATGTATAAATGTTGTACTTAATGTATGCTTTTCACACTATACTAAACCACTGTGTGATTTTGCATTCAATAATAAATTGATTACTGTCTGAGGACAATGGTGGACGTGTGTCTCAATTTCGTGGATTGGTTATAGTTGGACATTAACACCGTTGGATGCCGGATCAGTGGTCTAAGGCTTACGCGTTCGTGCGTAAGACCAATAGATCCTGGGTTTGAAAGTCGCGGAACTTGGATCGTGGATGTGAACTGCTGAGGAGTCCCACAATCGGACTTCCAGGTGTCCCATGGTGGTCTAGCTTCAATTGAATCATGATCTCAACTATCAAATTATTAAATTGGTTATCCCAACAAATGCTTCATTTATTACATCATTACAACTGTTAATAGGCAGACATTATCAATCAATAGTACTTCATTGTTTATTATATATACTTCATGAAATGAAAACATTTGAACAATAAACTTTTTCTATTTACTAAGTAATATAACACACATTCACTTAAAGATAAACAAACAAAACAAAACAAACAAACGACTTTATGTAAATAAATAGTTGTTTACTAAAGTTGAAATACTATAAATATAAGTAGTATCGTTAGTTGTTATTCAATATCATTATCATTTCTATTGTATAATCTAATTATGAGTTCATTTAATCTGGCAATTCTATTCATTGTAATTATTACATTACAATCATGTTCCAATTTTGGTGGAATTGTTCATGTCGACAAAGATAGGCATCCTATTTTAAATGAAACTCTAATTAACAAGTCGGTTATTCTTGTGAATAGAATGATAAATTCAAATTTTTGGTATGCACAAACTAATATTACTAATATGACAATACAAGTAGTATATTGTTATATTGATAAATTTTCTTTCTATTAGATTGTAAATGGTGTATTATTACAATATAATTTACATCTTACACGTACTAATTGTACAAAACATAATAGGATAATGCAAAATGTTAAAAATAATCAAAGTATTAGATGTCAATTAAATAATAAAACTGTAAGTTTTGATGAATTTTTAAAAAATTAACTTCGAATTTCAAATTATTCATTGTTAGATTGAGATCTTATGCCCTGGTACGGTCAGAGATAGGGGAGTCCGCTCTCCTTCTGAAATTCTCTCATATCACCATGCGTATACAACCAATGATAGGGTCATCCTACTCATGGCGCGTGTGTTGTTGACGAAGTTGAGAGGACGCAAAACGAATTTCCAGTGCTTTAACCGTGTTTGTTGTAGAGTAGGGTCTACCAAAGAGAATCAGAAAATCCCAAATCCAAACCAATGGTTCATATGCGCTATAGTATTCTGATAAAATAAATGACGTATGAACCAATTGTTGGTCACCGACTACCATGGAACTGCATATCGTAAAGTTGCTGCACTGTGTTATGGATCAGACCTTTAGTTCATAGGCTCCAGGTGTTGTTCTTTGAGAAGACCATCTGCTTCAGTCTGAGTACCCTGGCAGTAGCATAGCCCACATACAAATCAAGTCACTTGTGTGGTGCGTATTTATTTTGTATTCCATTGTACTAATATTTGTGTGTTCAGATAAATAAATAAATAATATAAAAACGGCATCATCTAGAAACTATGATGGATGAATTAAATAGATTACATTAATGCTGATAGATTCCGGCCCAATGTTCTAGAGGTTAAGTGTACGAGACTGAAGGTACTGGATTCGAGTCC